AAGTAAAGATCATAGACAAACATAGTATGCATACATGGTGTATGGCATGACTAGTGTTTAGAAAACATAGTGTACATGCTTGGAGCATGGGACAACTAGTTTTTTAATTCAAGAATAAAGTTGATAGCTGAAACAGTATACAATGAATAATGTGTAATCATATGGTGATAAATAAAATGTGTTTTATTTATGTTCATAGGTTTTGATACCATATTAGATTCCATTATTATTGTGTTTCATTGGGCTTATTTTGACTTCCAGAATAAACTAGGTCATTGTACTGGATGACTAAGTTATTCATACCATCCACAGTCGGTCATATGTTGGAAGTAGATATGAATTAAGGCTTGCATGGGTTGTCTTGTAGAGGTCTAAGATGTTGGAAAAAGGGCTACAACACTCATGAGTGCTCATAAGTTCTGAGTATTGGATTCAACCCGCACTCATTGGAATCACTTCATGGATTTTATCACTAGTGATCATGAGACGATAATATCTTATATTCTTTAAACCTAGAGATATGAGTTGTTACTATGAGTTGATAGTACATTGATTGCACGAAAACGCATTGGTAACTCGATGTTATAAAACGTGCCTTTGTGTATGATTCAACAAGTAGCAGAACAAGCCATATGAGTCGAAGTTTATCCATTCCTTTTACCTTCGGGGTAAAAGTGATATCTGTGGGCCCCTCGATGATTTAATAATGATAAATGGAAGTGCTCAACCGGGCCAGGACTGATTTGATTTGTTCAATTAGTTAGTCATCATGAATTGGAAATCAGGAAACAATAGATGGACATAGAGAATGATTTACAATCCATGTCTCAGTCTATATGATATCTATAATGGAGGAATATATGATCCCTTATCTAATGGACAAGTCATTGACAAAGGTCAGAGTTCATCTACAAGGTCAGAGGTCGACAGAAGCTTTTGAGAGCTACAATTTCCAGTCAGTTCTTGAAGTCATACGCAATAATAGTTTTAGATTTATCCAAGTAGGAGACTGTTGGATTAATGTCTAAGTCCATAATTATAATTGGTAAGACTTGACCCGACCCGACATGGTCCATTTGGGTTGCATGGCATCATGCATTTGGATAGACTATAACGAGAGAAATAACACTTAAGGATTATTTAATATATTATAAGTTCTAATATATTAATAGGATTATTTAATTAGTATTGATAAAGAATTAATTTAGAATTAATTAAGTGATCAAAAGAAGACTAATTAAATATATGGGTTGATTGTGTAAATCATCCATACTTGTATAGTGGGCTAATGCTCCATGGATTATCAAGTTGGGCTAAATCCCATAGGATGCTCCATGGTGTATTTGAACCCATGGATCCAAGGAAATGGAAAGTCATGACATTTAAGGGTTTACCCTAATTGTAACACTATATAAAGATCATGTTCTTGGGAAAATCGGCCACTATGAGTGAGTGATAGGGCTAGCCAATTTTCATGAAGCGTGGTGTTTCTCTCTAAGTTATTCCAAGTGTATTTGGTGTTGTGTGAACCATTTGAGGTGTCACACTTGCAGCACTAGGCACTCAAGATTCATGAAGACATTCTACATCAAAGAGGTCTGGATTCTATCTTGTTATATTTATTGTTTTGTATGCTAGATTAGGATAATACCTTGGATATTCATATTTGTATGTATAATAGAGAAAACATAGATCCAAGGTATTTAGGGTTGCATGTACACTTAGGAGTCTTAGAATGCTCATAACCCAACATAAAGAAGATAATGTGATTGGTAACAAAGCATGTTTAGTGGTAAAAGGATATTGTCAAGAGGAAGGAATAGATTATGAAGAGATGTTCGCACTGATAGCTAGATTGGAATCAGTTCGGATTTTTCTTGCCTATGTCGCTCACAAAACTTTTGAAGTCTGTCAGATGGATGTGAAGTGTGTGTTTCTTAATGTTGAACTCGAGGTGAATGTCTATGTGGAACAACCACCAGGTTTCGTAAATCAAAAATATTCGAATCATTGCTACATTTTGGATAAGGTAATGCATGGTCTGAAACAAGCTCCTCATGCATGGTATGAAACTATGACTCATTTTCTTAAGCAGTCTAAACTCAAACAAGGATCGGTTAACCCAACCTTATTTTGCAAGAATGATGGTGACCATTTAATGATTGTTCAAATTTACGTTGATGATATTATATTCGGATCCACTAATCTTAAATTAAAAGTTGAATTCCAAAAACTAATGGAATGAAATTTGAAATGAGTTCAATGGGTCCAATTAACTTTTTCTTTAGCTTAAACATTAGACAAAGCTTAGAAGGCATATTCATAAACCAAAAGCTTACACAAAGACCTTGCTTGCTAAATTCGGAATGGTGGGGGACTCAAAGGTCAAAGTTCCAATGACATTCGGAACGAAACTTACTCCATCCTTGGACAAACTAGCAGCTAATATCACATTATATTGTCAGATAATTGGATCTCTAATGTATCTAATATTGATATGTCCTGATATTATGTTTGTTGTATTTTATTGTGCTAGGTTTTAGGCGAATCCCCGTGAACCACATATGATAGCTGTAAAGAACATGTTTCGATACCTCAAAAGAACAACATCTCTCTGAATTTGGTATCCATCAAATTTTGGATTCATTGTGAAAGCATATACCAACATTGACCTAGGGGGATGTGTACTTGATCGTAAAAGTACTTCTGCAGGGTGTCAGTTTCTGGATGGCAAACTGGTTAGTTAACAATCTAAAATGCAGACATGTGTGTCCTCATCAACTGTTGAAGTTGAATACATAGTAGCAACATCTTGTATGTCCCAGGTTGTGTGGATTCAAAATCAGCTTAGGGATTATGGAATTAACATGAAGCAAATCCCTCTATATTGTGACTCTGAAATCGCGTTTAGAATTTTGTCTTAATCCAATGCAACACTCTAAGACGAAGCATATAGCATTGAGATGTCATTTTATTAAGGATCATGTCGAGGATAGAAATGTCGATGTTCATTATGTTAGATCCTCAGATCATTTGGATGGCATCTTCACAACGGCCTTTGGTTGGAATCTTCACAACGGCGCTACTTGAAGCTCCATTCAATTGAATTTTACAAAGGATAGGAATGACTAAAGCCGACTCAGTTCTGAAATTAGCCTCATAATTGGAATTTACTGTTCATGTTCCGAATGGTTCCGAGCTTCAAAATGTTTCGGAATTCATTTTTCAAATTCTGATTGGTTCCAAGCTTTGGAATGGTTCAAAATATACTGTTCATCGGGGTTTCGGAATTTTTTGTATCTTTTGTACACTATTTGTCTCTCCCAATTGGTTCCGAGCTTTGGAATGATACGGAAGTTACTATTCATTTGTGTTTCTGAATTTTATTTATCTTTAACATTTTTCTTTATTTCTATTTTATTTTTTTAGAAAATCAAAAATTTCAGAAACACTTTTCTTTATTTTTTTTTTTATCCTTTTTAGAAAATCAAAAATCATAAAAATATTTTTTTTATTTTTAAGAAGCTAACATTCTTTCCTCATGATAACTTTCTCTTTTGTCTCAATTTAGTATGATGGGGCAGGTATAATTCTGAAACTTTGTACTAGCTAAGCGTCCCTAGAAGCATATTGTTCCATGCTATTGCAAGCCTCTTAGACTCTATGTTCGAATCCTTAATGAAATTTTCATTCTGATCATTTCTTCACAATCAGGCTACTACATTCACATAAGTCATCGAGCTACCTTACTCTTCTCACCTTGAGTTAAGAGTTGACTAATTTTTCGTTCATTTATAGCATAGGTACACTTTTTTTTTCTGCGGAACCAATCTACAATTTCTCCATTAATTTTGTGTTCATAAACGTAACCCTTGAGGCTCTAAAAAATTACCATTGAGATTTATGGTTATACAACATCTGTGTTCATGATCTGAAAGTTGTTATCACCACAATTTTGAGTGAAACCCAAAATCCGAAACCCATTTCTGAACTAACGATGAATAATTAAATGTTCCAGATATTTTCACCAAGGAATTCACGAATAAACCTTGTGGTTTGTACGAATATGGTTTAAAATCTCATTTTTCTTTTTCAGTGGTCTTAATGAACTGTTCTAGACCAAAGGCATTTCTTCCCATCAAAATCTAGTTTTCATGTTTCTTGAGATTTACATCATATATAGTCACTTATATAAAATCCAAAGCTTAGTTGTTCTTATGGCTTACTGGACAAACAAGTTCTTCTTTCAGATCTTTGGACTTATGTTGAGTTTTGGAATTTGATTGAAGGAGAAACCACGCTTAAATCCTCTTAAAAGAAGCCTTTAATAGTTTTTTTAATAAACTAGTTATCGTATTTCAATGGGATACCAAACAAGCACTTCAGAGTCTCTCTTGATTCAAAAGGAAGATATTATTTCCCGGGATCCATCTGAATTTCATGTCGATTTATTTGACATCATAGATTCCTTAAAATAATCTTGCTTTATTTCTTTATCTTTGGCACACTCTTGCAAAAAAATCTTTGCGATTTTTCAAAGTCTGGTTCTAAATTCGGAATGGTTACTTTCATTCTGAGAATAGGCCATGGTCTCACAACTAGTGGATTGTTTAATTACTACGAATGTATCAATACCGAAATGAAGGTTTCTTGGAGAAGAAAATTAAAAAAAAAAGGGCGGGACTTTTGAATTCCCTGACAACACACCTATTTGTTACAATGACGTTTAACACTAATTGATGAGTTGTTACGTTTTTATAGGCTGATTTTACGGGGTACAGGAATTTGGAACAACGATTTTCTCTCACCACTTATCACATGGCGTATAAAAGGCTTTTTAACGGATTGTTTTCTCTTACAGCCCACACAGTTATCAAAAAACCCAAAGAAAAAACCTCTTTCTCTCTCTACTATTCATCATTTTCCTCAAAGCAACAATAACATGATCATCTGAGCACATCTCTTTTGCTGATCAATCGGCCTTTGTAATAACGCTCACTATGAAGCATGGCCAAAACATGATCATTGATCTTGATTCATTGCGCTACAATGAAGTTCTAAGGCCAGTAATCGAATGCCTCAAATACTCGTCACTGGCTCAAGCGTTAACCATGGTGGAATCTGTTTCATTTGTTCATCTATCGAAGGCTTACTCATCTTCTCTCTACAACAAGGAAAATGACATCATCTACTTCGAGGTTACTTCTCAAAAGACCTTGATTACCAAGTCCCACTTCTGCAGACTTTTAGGGCTCACTTCATCTAACGCTCTCGTGTATCAAGAATCGATTTCCTCCACTATCCTTATCGAGATGTTTTATCAGATGGGATACACTGGAGACATTGCTCTGCTGTCAAAGTTTAGTAAGCCCTTTCTTCCTCCAATATTTAATGGGCTATTTACTCTCCTATTCAAAAGCTTTTTTGAACAAGTTGCAGGTTCAGACAACGCAAGTATGTTGCTCTACACTCTTATCTATGGCCTCTACCATGGTGTTGTTCTTGACTTTGGTGCAATTTTATGGATCCACCTTATTCAAAGCAGTGCCTCTGCCTCTTGCACACATAAATTTCTTGTTCACGATTTTGGTCAGTCATGGTCAATCGAGCTCTAGGTCACTTTAAAGTTCCTTTGATGATGTATTTGTTGGATTAATGTCTAAGTCCATAACTATAATTAGTAAGACTTGACCCGACCCGGCATGGTCCATTTGGGTTGCATACCATCATGCACTTGGATAGACTATAATGAGAGAAATAAGACACTTATGGTTATTAATATATTATAAGTTCTTGTATATTAATAATAAGAATAATAAGATTATTTAATTACTATTGATCAAGAATTAATCTAGGATTAATTAAGTGATCAAAAGAAGACTAATTAAATATATGGGTTGATTGTGTAAATCATCAATACTTATATAGTGGGCTAATGCTCCATGGATAATCAAGTTGGGCTAAAACCCATAGGATGGTCCATGGATGCTCCATGGTGTATTTGAACCCATGGATCCAAGGAAATTGTCACAACTAGAAATTTTGTGTCTTGTAATCACTACATTCAAGTAAAGGTTGAATCAAAAACTTAAGAGCATGTGTGATACCTATTATTATGACATCAAAAACTTCAATCAAATACATCATACAAGTACTACAAATGGTCATCAAGAAATTGGAAACCCTAGAAGTCCTCGTTTAAGTCCATTTTAGACTAGGACTTCCTTATTGGGCCCAAATGGACCAATAAGCTTCCAATTTGACTATCATGGGCTTAGAACCCTAATTGGGCACTAATTGGACCCACATTTATTTATTTCAATATTTTGGGCTATGTTGGGCCTAGAATGAAATGAATTAAAAGTTATGAACCATAATTAACTTAAACTAGCCCAACAAAGTATAAAAATCACACTTATATCTTACAATCATCAAACCTAACTCTAATATTGGGCTTAGGGGCATTAAAGCCCAATACTCTCTTTTCTTTCCAAATTTCGGCCCAAGACAAGCCCAAGAGGAAGAAGTTGACTTATGGATTGCCACCTCATTATTACCCCTTGGATCTCCATGCACTAACTCATGTCTCCATGCACACATCACCTCACTCACTTCTCTTCTCCCTCCCTCTTTTTCCTTCGGCCGAAAGCACCCACACACACACACACTTCCATCATTTTTGCTTATCAAACACTCTCAAGAACACCCTCCACTCTCTTCACTAAATTTCGAAGATTCAAGAGCATTCCAAGGAGAATCCTTCACAAAAATCATCATCTAGGTAAGTTGAAACTTGGATCCATACTTTAGACTTCTTCTTATATCCAAAAATCTCTCCTTAACTCATATGAAAGCATAATCTTGTGTCTTAGAACCTCTCAAACTCGAGATCATCAAGAAAAGGTTGCTTAGGCCGAAAATCACCAAATTTTCTTCCATTTCTCCTCCAAAACCGAAACCAAACCCTAAGGTGAGCTTCATACCCCCTTATTTTCGGTTTTTATAAGTTTTGTGGGGGGAGAATACAAGCAAAGTGTAGATCTACATTATGTGTATGCCTTGTATGATTTCTATGCTTATATGTGTGTTTGTATGATTATGATGTTGGATCTAGTCATAAATCACTAAAAACCGAGATATACTTTATGTTAAATGATACTAACATAAAACATACTACTACATACAAAGTATACCAAGAAAAATAGCTAAGTGGCTTAATAATACATACTTTGGGCTAAAAACTCATTTTTTTAGACATAAATGTTAAAAATACAAAGTTGAAGGGCCCAAAATGAAATATTTCGAAATCTGATGGGTGAGATGAGTCAAAACAGTTTCCATAATGTATTTTCTGAAAATATACTCTTTTGGAGGATTAAAAACATAAATTTCAAGCTTAATGGGCTAAAAATGACAATTTCGGCCCAATAGGGCCCATTATGCGAAATTTTCTGTTTTGGAGGGCCAAAACTGTGTTTTTCTGTAAAACAGTGGACTACTAGTGTTACAAGTACTTTTCAAAGGTTTAAAATGCTTTTCAAATTTAAAAAGGACCAAAGTTGCAAAATTTTCCAATTGGGGCCAAAATTGTAAAAACTGCGAAAAAGAAGGGTTATAACCGAGAAAACTGCAATTTCAGGGACTTAAACTGTTTTCAATGAAAAATATGCTGAAAAATATTAATTTCAATAATTTTTGGTGTTAAAATGTCAAGAAAAATGATTTAAGGACCAAACCGGAAAGTTATTTAATTAGAGGGTGGAAAAAGTAAATTTTACAAACAATGAGGGGCTGAAAACAGAAAACGTTCAAGGCTAATTCAATACACGCAACTTGATCAAATATTGGCACCGCGACTACCGACACAATACACAACAATACCAAAAATCGTTGTTAAACGAATTGATTCGGTCTCGAATCAATAATAATCCGAAACTACTAACACAACGATAACTCGACTCATACACGAAAACATTTGGTAATTCAATACACACGTGAGAGTGCACAGACGTCTACGCACCATCTTTGGGCCCCAAAGTGTAAAATCTTGTTTGTTGGGCCTGGCTAGCCCAATGACCTGATCTTAAGGCCCGAAGACTTCTACCTTACGAGTTGTTGGGTCTTACATGATCTAACACAGCGTAAAAGGACTTTCAATGGCATTTATACTATTGGTCCCCAAGGGTCCTATGGTATTGCTAGTAAAGTCGGTATTTTATGCGAGGCGGGTCAAGGGCCCCTCGTACCTTTTTTTTATCCCCAACCGGTTAATGGAGTCATCGGGGTCTTCGTGTCCTCTTTCTCTTCGGATGTGGGATTACTCGAAGTCAGGGCGGTCGGATAACGTGATTAGTACGGACGACGCCTACGGGATCGTTAGTATAGTTATAAACGGGTCGTTTGTGTAACGCGTGTTTATAGCAATTAATCATGCGCAAAATAAATCCGATGTCGCCTGGGATTAATGACTTCACGCGCTGCAACGGTTTTATCTTTAACTTCATGGAATTCAAAGAATTAGGAAAACATCGGGTTTTCCTAGGGTTTTTCAATACACACGTTTTTTTTCAAAATGTACACAATTTTGATGAACATTTTTCTTACAACTATAGAAACAAACAAGCATACCTATGGATCTTCACAAACGTTTTCAAAAGCTCTTTTCAGAAAATATCGGATTTTCTGGTGGTTTTCAAAATGATACAAAACATTGCTTTTCAAATACCGCTTATGAACTCACCAACATTTCACATGTTGACGTTTTTCAAAATACTTGTATTCTCAGGTAACCAGTGATTCAAAGGAAAAATGTACCCAGTGATGGCTTGCAGTTTACTTATTAACGAGTCGAACAATTTATTTCGGGGAATGTAATGTTTAAACAATGTACTTCATGTAAACTTTATCGGTTGTACTATATTAATGCATGGTGACGAATGTTGTTATGTTCCATATATATTCAATGTTATGGTATTCAATTAAGTAACGACAGCCCTCGGACGTTTCCGCCGTCTGGTTCGGGGGTGTGACAGAAATGGAAAGCCATGACAATTAAGGATTTACCCTAATTGTAACACTATGTAAAGATCTTATTCTTGACAAAAATAGGCCACTAGAATCACATTAGAAAGTGAAGAAAAGGGCTAGCCGATTTCATGAAGTGTAGAACTCTCTCAAGTTATTCTAAGTGTTTTGATGAGTGTGATTCCATTTGAGGCTTCCACACTATTGGGGCTAGGCACTCAAGCTTCATGAAGACTTTCTACATCAAAGAGGTATGTATTCTATCTTGTTACACTCATTGTTTTGTATGCTAGATTGGGATAATACCTTGGATGCTCTTATTTGCATGTATAATAGAGAAAACATAGATCAAAGGTATTTAGGGTTGCATGTACACTTAGGAGTGTTAGAATGCTCAAAACCCAACAGTGGTATCAGAGCTCAGGCTTGTTTTCTTGTTATACCTGCAATAGATGCTTAAAAAATCGAAAGTGTTGCTGTTTGATCATCAGACTCGGCGAGTCCATCAAGGGACTCGGCGAGTCCATGCCTAAAAATTGATCAAAACGATCCAACTCGCCGAGTCGGTTCATGCACTCGACGAGTTGGACCCCCACACAACATATTTTCGAGGTTTTTGGCTAGAAATGGACTAGGAACATTACCCTAAGTTGTTTTTGAACTTATAACTTGTTTTTTAATGTGGTAATGTTCATGCTAATCCATTTTCAAAGATAATTGTCAATAGATTCATGTTTTGTATTAGTTTAAGGTTTAGACTAATTACATGAAGAAGTTTGATATAAATTATCTTGTTCTTATGAGTTTCTTAGATTAATAGAAAAGTTAATTGAAATAGTTGCTTTCAATCCATTTTAATCTAAGAGTTGAGTATAAAATGTGTTTGTGTAACTTGTCCTCAAGTTACATGAAGAGTCACATTAAAGACTCATAAAACTCATAAAAGTTGGTAATGGTTACAAAATGAAGAGTCTTGTGTCATTGAATTTTTTTTTATGACTCCATAAATTGTCCTCAAGTTATGGAAGTTCAAGAGTCACTTCATTAAAGAGTAAAAGTGTAACCTTAATTAATTCCATAAGTTATAAAAAATAAAGAAAAGTTAATTCTCTTATTAGTTTAAAGTCTTCCATAAGTTATGGAACTTGAAGAACTACTTTAAACACATAAGTTATGGAATTAATTATTTTTGAATAGTTTCAAAACTTGCCCTCAAGTTTTGGAATTTGAAAAGTTTTCTCTTATGAATACTTTAATTCCAAGTTAGCCCTTAGAATTCTAAAGAGTTAAAATTCAACACTTATACTATTTATAACATTAATGGTTAATTATTATATATATATATATATATATATATATATATATATATATATATATATGTATAAGAACAAGTCGTTTTACCGTTAGTAGGCCTCATTCACGAAGCCGGTCTATAAGGTGGGTATAAGGTTGTTGCCTATAAAATGGCGACTTAATGGGTGTACACTCTCACCCACCGCTTGCTTGATCGGTGGAGGGTCGTTAGCCGAACGGGTAGGACAATGACTTTAAATTCTCATTAAAAGTATAATGAATATTATAAAGTAACTAA